GGGGAGACAACAGAGTGAGGGTGACAGGACACAGTGTGAGGGTGACAGGACAGTGTCAGGGTGACAGGACACAGTGTCAGGGTGACAGGACACAGTGTGAGGGTGACAGGACAGTGTGAGGGGGACAGGACAGTGTGAGGGTGACAGGACAGTGTGAGGGTGACAGGACACAGTGTGAGGGTGACAGGACAGTGTGAGGGTGACAGGACACAGCAGGGAGTCCCGGGGCTGTGCTGCCGGAGCACTCACGCTGGTGGAGCTCAGGGCTCAGGCAGTGGCGAGGTGGCAGCGTGTGTGGGGCCAGGCTGAGGATGTGGCACACGGAACAGGCTGGCCCAGCCGTGCTCTGTGACCTCCAGGAGCCACCAGTGATGTCATGGAACAGCTCAGCTCGGAGGAGACCAGGGGCAGCACCGAGACCAACCCTCCCCAGCACTGCCAGGCCACACTGACCACGTCCCCAAGTGCCACATCCTCCAGGGATGGGGACTCCACCAGCACCTGGAGAACTCCCAGTAAAGAAATTTTCCTTAATATCCATCCTGAGCCTTCCCTGGCCCAGCCTGAGGCTGTTCCCTCTCCTCCCATCCCTGTTCCCTGGGAGCACAGCCCGACCCCTGACACAAGTGAAATTCCAGTGTGGGAATGAAAATATTACTTCAAATTTGCTATAGTGTAAGTTGCCTGATTTTTCCAGAACTGAAACAAATATCAGTCAGACCGAAGATAAACCAATTTACTATCTGTCAATGGTGAGCACATATTTATCCAGCAGGGAAACGCTCAGCTCCTCCGTGCAGCACTGCCAGGGGCTCCTTTGGCTCACTGCACACCCTGGGTATCAAGCCTGGGGTTATAAATACCTTTAATGGACTTAGCAACAGGTACCTACAATCCTCTCAGAGACAGGAGCTTGCTTTCCTAGCACTGGATCCAGTTGGCAGGGGAGTGTTTATTGAATTGTAGTTGTGATTCTTTCCTGAACCAGGCTACAAAACTTAACACAGTGAAAAGAATCAAGTCTGAACACGATGGAGCATTTCCTTGCTCAGAGCTGCAGGATTTGGATTTCCCCAGCACGTGCCATCCCTGACGGCACATCCAGGTCACCAGGGACTGAGCCCGGGCTGCCACTGCCACCTCCAGTGCCAGAGAGTTTTGCTCTGGGAAATCAACTCCCAAAACCCTTCTCCCTTCAATTACTTCTACACTTAAAATAAACCCAGAAAGAGTGGGGGGGAAAAAGGAAAAACCTTGTTCCTCAAGAGAGAATTACATGGCAAAGGAGGACTAAAAGGAATATCCAATCAATAATTTGTGGGACAGGAAAATAAAACGCAAGAGCTGTTAAAAAGCAGCAGCTGAAGGAGCTATGGCTGCAATAAATTCCATTTTCCTGAGTTCACACACACCAAGTGTCAGGCTCCCTAGCATGACAATACTGTTGTTATCCCATGGCACAGGTACACTGTAGTTACAGGAAAGAAATTCCTGTGAATGACTCATATTTCAAAGTGAGAGCACACCTCCATGGAATCTGCACTTAGGGATGGTTTATTTCCCACCACATATGACACTGCTGTTTTCTCTACTTGCCCCCAAAGTATTAAAAGGAGAATTAGGTGAGGCACATCTAATTACAGGGTTTAGGGCTTTCCGATACAGGAAAAGGTTGAAGATGGTTAAAAGAACAATGGTGAAGAACAATAGGAAGAGGTAAGTGACAAAAAGGTTCAAAACTATAGTGTTGAACAGTTTCTCCGTTCAGTTTGGCACTCAGGAATAGCACAGAACTGCCAGCACAGAAATCAATCTATCCCAAACCTCCACACCACAGGAGCTCCAGAGATTCACACTGCTGGAACATGTCCAGAGTGTGACTTTGGTGACAGCAACACAGGAGGTGAAAAACTTCTTGTACTGATCTGGGGCTTTTCTTGAAACATTTTTTACACAAAGCCAAAAGAATAAATTATTTTTTAACATTTCTTCACTTTAGAGCAAGAGCATCAAGGCACGGTGTGATCAGAGGTGGAGAGTGCCCAGAGCCGAGAGCTGTCCCCAGGTGTAGCAGCAGTGACACCGGAGGGGTTTGGAATGGAGCAGCAGGGTCACTGTCCCCAGGGGCACAACATCCCTGCAGAGAGGATGAGTGTGATTCCTT